TTTTCTTCCACACTGTTGAGCAAGAGATTGTGATGCAAGCCACACTTTGTAGTAATCGAAGGTTTAGAAGAACCATATAAATTGAATTTGCTTCGAACAGTCTTGATCAAGAGAGTGTGAAGCTTTCTATGAGTTGTAGTGTTTGCATTGTTACAGAGGAGAAATGTCTGAAGCAGATGCAAGAGGGCTGAAGAGCTTGATCTTCGTATACCATGCACTGAATCCGTTGTTGGCTTGCAATAAGACTTTGTTGGTGACTATAACTCTTGTTAGGCATAAGTGCTCCCCTAGTTAAGTTGTAAAGCTTGAGCTTTTTTTATTATTTGTGAATACTAGGAGTTTACATGTATAAGTTGTACCACTCGTCTTCTGGTTGGTGGAATGAATGGTGGGTTGCTTTCATCACTTGGTTGGTGGTACGAAGGTGAGTTCCTTCATCACCTTTCATCATATTTCATCACTTGGTTGGTGGCATAAAGGAGAGTACGGGTTGTACATTTCATCACCTAGTTGGTGGCATGAAGATGAGTTTCTTCTTCACCTGATTGGTGATAAGAGTGGCAAGTTGCCAAATAATATTAGAGTACGGGTTGTACATTTCATCACCTAGTTGGTGACATGAAGAAGAGTACGGGTTGTACATTTCATCACCTGGTTGGTGGCATGAAGATGAGTTATTTATTCACCTGGTTGGTGATAAGAGTGGCAAATTGCCGAATAATATTAGAGTACGGGTTGTACATTTCATCACCTGGTTGGTGACACGAAAGTAAGTTCCTTCTTCACCTGGTTGGTGATAATAGTGGCAAGTTGCCAAATAATATTAGAGTACGATTGTACATTTCATCACCTGGTTGGTGGCATGAAGGAGAGTACGGGTTGTACATTTCATCACTTAGTTGGTGGCACAAATGTGAGTTCCTTCATCACCTAGTTGGTGAGAATAAGGGCAATGTGTCGAGGCACATTATAGCAAGTGTTGAATGACACAAAGTGTGTTGAACCCTTTCGAAACACAGTTGGCTTATGTATGAATGTATTGGAATGTATGATGTTTATGTATGAATGTGTTGGAATGTATGATGTTTACGAAGATTGACATGAGTGATGCTTACGAATGTTTTGCTATGCATGAAGGGATCTATGCTTTCAATATGTGAACCATATTGGTTGTAACACTTAGTATCACATACTTTGTGCCAAAGTACGCATGTTGAAGCTTTGAGTTAGAGTATAGAGTTAGGTCAGCGTAGACCAAGTGTTCCAGTGTTAGAAATGCAAAAGACTCAGAAGAAGTTGTCTGAATTCTTTAAATATTTGTCGAATGGCTTGTGTAACAAAAGATCCCAAGCGATTGAGGGTCAAAACATTTGCAATGTGTATGCCTTCTTATAATAGTATTTCCTTCAGTACCTAGTCCTCCACTTTGAAAGAGTGAGGCTTGGCCCCATAGTCATAATAGTCAACGGTACGTTCACCCCTGGTTGTCTTGATGCGAACCTTTATCCCTTTTATTGTAATGGGCTTGTTGAGAGTAAAAATCCTTCCTCTTACCAAGAGACAAATACGTTTGGTGACTTAGCGAGTAGCTAAATGAGGCAGGAGATTATGCAATGGGTGTCTGAATGGCCAAGATCTCATCACTTGGTAGAACTTGACTTCCACTTCCCACTTGTTGATAGGGGTGAACCATATGGGGGTTCTCTTGGTATGTCCTTACTTCGGCGGAGGCGTGGTTGTAAGCCTGTGCCATCACCTCAGAGTAAGTCTTCCAAGTGTTGGCATTGATCATGTACTTAAGAAACAATCACGTAGGCCTGCCGTGAAGGCTTTGGGCGTGGTCTTGTCATCTGCCTCAGTGCAGTGAGAATACTCATGGTTGAAGTGACCAGCATACTCTCGTAATGACTCGTCTGGCTTCTGGCGAATAGTGTACAAGTCATCAGTTTAGAGCTCTGCCAGATAGGGTGGAAGGGAAAAGAAGACATCGTTTTTCGTCGGCGTGCATCTGATATGCCATAGTGGACTCAAAGAGGTTAAAATGTTCAATCAGGTCCTTCCTTCCAGTATAGAGTTGTAAACCTCTTCACTTAGAGGGGGTGTCGAGGATCCTCCTTGTAAGAGGGCCAGGCCTAGGTTGGTTCTAACCAGGTATCTCAGCTTGTTGTTCGACCCTTAACTTGTTTACTTCGTTAAGGAGCCATAGGACAAAAGGGGCATGAGTGAAGTCATGTACCATTGGAGCTTTTTTTTTCGTAAATCTCCAACTCCTCTTGGAAGTAGGAAGGTTTGATCAAGAGCATATGATTTTTCCTTGGACTCGCCGTACCTTCGTGTTTCTCTAGGACTTGTTGCCCCTTCCCCAAATTGGTTGCCGACCTGGGATATGGGAGGAGACTGAGTTTTTCAGAGACCCTTGGGTCATTAATCTTTGAGCTTACATGGATGAGATTGTCTCGACGTTGCTTTAGGAAGTCTCGACAGTCGCGAAAGACGGCTTTCGATATTTCCACTCCTTTTGTAAAGAGGTGTCTTCCTCCACTCTTCTTGCTTCGGGTCGAAACAGCTGGGTTGAGAGAAGTCTCATGTTGGTCACCATTTCGATGAGTAGCTCGCTCCTTAATAGGAATACCCATGTCGAGGGCAAATGACCCTCCGTGTTGGGGGGCACCCAGTTGATGGTTGACTTCCACAAGGGTGATGAGCTCGTGTGTTTTAGTGTATCTAGCCTCATGGAGCATCTCGAAGACCTTCTCATATTGCTCTTGGAGGATCTCATTCTTCATCGCTATCTTGTTGTTCTGAGCCTCAAACTTATCGACTTTAGCCTAAAAAGCAAACTTCTTTTGTTCATTCTTTCATTGCTTCGCACCAGGTGCGAAGGGGTGTCGTTCTGTGTACTGTGGCTTCCTTCGCTCCCCATGTTGAAGAGGGATGCTTAGTAAAAAAAAGAATGTACAAATGGTGGAAACCAACTTGACAAAGTTGAAGAGAGTGGAAATAAGTGTCGTTCCCACAGACAGCGCCAAATGTTGATGCACAAAATCAGTGGGGACTTTGGTACAACAGAAAATGTCAAGTTTGTGACCTTCGCTAGATTGCTCCGGTTACTTGTGTGGATAAGTATGTAAATGGATAGAGATCGGGAAGCAAACATAAGATGTACGTGGTTCACCCAGATTGGCTACGTCCACGGAGTAGAAGAGTTCTCATTAATTGTGAAGGTTTTACACAAGTATATAGGTTCAAGCTCTCCTTTAGTGAGTACTAATAAATGATTTAGTACAAATGACATTAAGGATTATTGTGGGAGAATGATCTCTTTTTATAGAAGAGAGTTTCTAGCTTTGTTCTGGCCTTGACACATGTCATGCTGTGATTGGCCTTTGATGTTGACACGTGTCGCCTTGTGATCGGCCTCTTGGTGTTGACACGTGTTGCGCTGTGATTGGCCTCCTGGTTGGAGGGAAACTCTTCTGGGTCCTTGACGGTATAACGTTAATCGGTACTTGTTAGTTTCGGGATTGGTTAAGTATGGTACAAACAGTTTCCACAAATGCTTTTAAACTGGTTATTGCATTTTATGCCACGATTTACTTAATTTTAAAAATATTGTTTGTGGCTGAGTTGTATATTGTCATGGCATTTCATATGCATTTTACCTGCTCATATATATTATACTGTTGTGAAATGCTAAAGTAATTCTACAGGACACGCATGTAAGTTCAGGTGAGTTTATTGTGTTGTTTGGAACAATTGAATTGTATGACATGCTTATATTCATATAGTTTGTTCATCATTGCTGCACCCCGGTGTTAGTGCTCCAGCCTTGGGCCAGGGCTAATCCTTCACGTGATTGTTCACCTCCCGCACCGCATGCTCGCCTTGGATCCAAGTTAGGTGCTAGCCTGTCGTACAGGTCGTATTAGGCGACTCAGACTCGTAGGTGACCAGCACATAATGCTAGCCTTCACATGATCGTAACACTAGAGCGTATATTGTTACACCTAGCTTGTCGTTTAGGTCGCATCAGGCGACTCCGACTCGTGTGTTAGCATAGATTGATGAGCCATAGGTGCAGGCGTACATGTCACATTAAGTGACTTCGACTTGCGTGCTAGTATAGATTATTGAGCACATGATTATATTTATATTGCTGATGAGATACAGTGTTGTGGCATACTTTTGGTTTACTGTTAGCATGCATTTGATTTCGTACTTACATAGTATGATTTTCTGGAAATTATACATGTTTTATAGCGAGGGGTTAGTATGTTCAAAAAACAAATGGATTTTAGAAATCTTTATTTTTGTGGCCACTCACCCTTCTATTTTTCGCCCCTCTAGGTCCTAGATAGCTAAATTTCTTGGTGGCATACCAGGAAAAGCTGGTGTTCTGACATACTCTAATTAAAAGTAGGAACTGTTCCCGATTGTGTGCTAAACACTTAATTAGTTTCAACTGCACTATTGATGATATCTATGCTCTGAATATTTGTATTCTATAGGTTCTACCCACTATTGCGCACTTGCTTTTTTAGTTTAATTAAGTTATAGTTTTGGTTTTAATTTATTTACATTTTTCTTACATCACTTGCATGTATGGTTACGTCACCTTTGGCTGACAGCCAACACGCCTCGACTCCGATCAAGATGTGTCAATATATCCTTGTGTAAAAAAATGAAAAAAAAAATTGCAATTTACTAATTTCAACCTAATTATGTATTGAGTAATATCACTCAAGACGCAAAAAATACCAATTTCTTTCAGGTGCTTGCATGACATTGACGGACAAACATCTGCATGAAAACAACAATTTGACCATTTGACCGAAAGACGTCCCAAAAACTGCGGCTATCCATCAGCAGCCGCCTTAAAATAGCATAACTATTTTGGAGGCTGCGAGCTAGCAAAATTAGGAATGGGATGATGGGAAAATTGATGGAGTTGTACTGTCATTTTTAGCAAACTAGACCAAATAAAACCCTTCTTAGGTCCTCTCATGGTCGCTCTCTCTTGCCGCTACTTTTGGAGGCTGAGAGCTAGCAAAGCAAAACCGAACCAAATCAAACCGTACTAACCCTACATCGTCACGTCGCCCTTATCAAAGATTTAAACAACCTAGATTTTAACCACCACCTTCTAAAATTCCACACTCAACAACGCAATGCCGCGAGGTCGGACCTTTGCTACCATAATACTCACCATCTCTCTCCTGATCCTCGCGGTCACGGCCAACTTGAGAGATCACATTCTTCATGTCAACCATGTTGATGGAACAAACGCCAATGCTAATCCCAATGATAGATCACAGGAAATAGCCAATGCCGCCAACCACATTGGCAAGGCTGTCAACGACGTTGCCAACACCGCGAATAGCCTTCTCAATAACCTGGCCACCGCGTTGAAACCAAACACGGACAACTTCACCGAGTACCCTCGACCGGCGCTGGTCCAAGAGTTCCTCCTGGCCCATAACGAGATCCGAAGAGAGGAGAAGATGAAGCCGTTGGTGTGGAACGACACGATGGCCCAGTTGGCGGAGGACTGGGCCATGAAGCAGGATCATCACGACTGTCAAATGCAGCATTCATCGTATCAAGGTATGGGGGAGAACTTGTTCTGGGCTCACAAAGCGCATTGGCTGCCGAGGGAGGCAGTGCAAGACTGGGGACATGAGAAGGTGTACTACAACAAAGAAAAGCGCGAGTGCGAACCAGATAAACCATGCGAACATTACACGCAGATTATATGGAAAGACACTGAACAAGTAGGATGCGCCCGACACAAATGCTCCAATGGAAATTTGCTAGTTGTTTGTGAATATTATCCTCCTGGAAATTGGGTCGGTATGGACCCCTTTAACCCAATCCCTTTATCTGAATTAGCTCATCATAACCTGTCGAGGACGGCGCCATCACCACCAGCATCTTCGCCTTCTCCGCCGCCACCACCATCATCGCCTAATAGTGAGGCGTCAAATTCAGGCGGCAAACATTTGATGAAACGAAAGGTAATTTTAATTACTTGACTTTAGGCTTAAGCATGATAACATTATTAAAAGGAGAATGAGAATCATTAAAAGGAGAATGAGAATCTAACTTCAATAGTAAAGAAATGATTTTATATTTTGTCCGAAATGATAAGAAACTAAATTCTGGTATTGAATGCGATATTTTATCCTTTTTCTTCTTTTAAATGAATAGAAGATTAGACGAAATTAACTCGTTACAAAAAATATATAATTTTTGTTGTTGCTATTTTACTTGATCTTGCGAAGATAATTTTTTATTTTTTTCAAACGATAGATTTTGTTAAATTAGTCACCATTCATGCCGTCATGCAAAAGTTAACAATCTTTTCACCACTGTAGCAAAGAGTTACTTATATTTTGCGAAGATAATTAACTTGTTGCTATTACTCTTTAGGGTAATAAAGGTGGGGGTCATCATGTGCCAAGTGGACAAAATGGACAAGGTCAAGGTCAAAAGGGTAATCAAGCCCAAACTAATCACAGACAAGGTCAAAAGGGAAATCAAGGCCCAATTAACCACGGACAAGGAAATCAAGGCACAAGTAACCACGAACAAGGTCAAAAGGAAAATCAAGGCCCAAGTAACTACGGAGAAAGTCAAAAGGGTAATCAAGACTCAAGTAATCACGGACAAGGTCAAAAGGGTAATCAAGACTCAAGTAATCACGGACAAGGTCAAAAGGAAAATCAAGGCCCAAGTAACTACGGAGAAGGTCAAAAGGGAAATCAAAGCTCAAGTAATCACGGACAAGGTCAAAAGGAAAATCAAGGCCCAAGTAACTACGAAGAAGGTCAAAAGGGAAATCAAAGCTCAAGTAATCACGGACAAGGTCAAAAGGGTAATCAAGACTCAAGTAATCACGGACAAGGTCAGAAGGAAAATCAAGGCCCAAGTAACTACGGACAAGGTCAAAAGGGAAATCAAAGCTTAAGTAATCACGGACAAGGTCAAAAGGGTAATCAAGACTCAAGTAATCACGGACAAGGTCAAAAGGGTAATCAAATCTCAAGTAATCACAGACAAGGTCAAAAGGGAAATCAAAGCTCAAGTAATCACGGACAAGGTCAAAAGGGAAATCAAAGCTCAAGTAATCATAGACAAGGTCAAAAGGGTAATCAAGACTCAAGTAATCACGGACAAGGTCAAAAGGGTAATCAAGACTCAAGTAATCACAGACAAGGTCAAAAGGGTAATCAAGACTCAAGTAATCATGGACAAGGTCAAAAGGAAAATCAAAGTAACTACAGACAAGGTAAAAAGGGAAATCAAAGCTCAAGTAATCACGGACAAGGTCAAAAGGGTAATCAAGACTCAAGTAATCACGGCCAAGGTCAAAAGGAAAAGCAAGGCCCAAGTAACTACGGACAAAATCAAAAGGGCAATCAAGACTCAAGTAATCACGGACAAGGTCAAAATGGTAATCAAGGCCCAAATAATCACAGACACAATCAAGGGTCTCATGGTGGCGGTGGCGGTCACCATCGTCAACACTAGGGTTAGCCTAAACACCCGACCGTCACCACCTCCACTCCGATCATCTCAACCTTCATGTTCTAGCTGTTGGCGTGGCATGCCTTTTCATACGAGCATCTAAGACGCTTATTTTATGGAGCGATTTTGGCATTCCTCTTTGGCCATTTGGAGTCAAAGATGAATATTTTGAAATTGTATCTGAAATCGTAGGAGGAGTGGAGTGCAGGCTAAACGAAGAGTGTTTAACTTACCTATCCTACTTTATTACATCAATGGTGTTATTCCTTTTATCATTTTTGTTGGTAAGCGATGTTGTTCTTTTACAACCATGCTTAATATCATGTGTTTGTGGATCATGTGTTTGTGGCCCAAATAATTAAATAACATGATGGATGTATATGTATATTTGTCACTTAAGGCTCTTCCACCACACATGATTTAACTGACATGGAGAACCATCACAATTTCAAGATATATTGAAAGTAGAAGTGAATGGTTGTTCAAGGGGATTAGAAGACGATTAGCTATGAAGGATAGTCATCCCTTCAAATCCTACTGTTTTATGGAGGACTGGAATGAACGAGTGTTCTTCGTAAGTAATCCATCTTCTATCTTTTAGGTAATGATAATTTTATATTTTCTCTCTTCGGCATTACCTTTAATTTATTAGGTTACACATTTGAATCATGTATGTGTACCCAACGAGCCCTAAGAGAAAAGCAGAGTGCTGATTTGATAAATATTGTACAATATAACATTACAAAAACCCTATTCTAAAGTGAAAACCTTGGTCTCTAACTGATAAGCTTTGGTAAAGAAGGCAGGCCAACACAGATACGTTGAAGAAATGCTGCTAACTGTAGTTGCACCGATCATAAAGTTCATCACAACAATCTGCAATTGAATGGCCTCCAGAGGGGAGGCTCCTCCCATTATGAGGCCAGTCATTGCACCGGGAAGCGAGATGAGGCCAACGGTTTTGGCATTGTCCAGAACTGGAGACAGAGAAATCACCAGAGCTCTCTTCACCTGCTGCATTGTTGCTTGGCGCGGCGTTGCACCAAGAGCCAACGCTGTCTCTACCTGAAAAAAAAAATCGGTAATCCATGTCAGTTCATTGACATTGTTGCCAATATTCAAATTTCCAACTGGAAAATGACTCGAACTGACTGAATATTTATCCATCTGCATAATACTATATCGTGAACATTGGACAATATAATATGCAAGACTAAATAGTAAATACTTTGAACACAAGGTTGGTCTCTTAGGGCCTGTCGAGAGTCGAGACTGCTTCTGCAGAAAACACTTATAATTCTCAAAAAAAAAAAAAAAAAACACTTGGAAGTATTTCCTAGTGACTTTTTGTTATTTCTACCAAACAATGTCACAAGAGCTTTTGGTTACATGAAAGCGCTTTTGGAAACAAGCAGTCAGTCTATGGAAAAATTATATGGAAAAAAAAGAGACGGATTTGGTAACAATATGGTTTTCTTCGGGTAAGAAATTAACCTACCAGGTTCATTTGAGTTCGAATATCATCTCGAAGCCTTTTCATCGTAACCCCAGTTACCGTCATTGAATTTCCGACCATCATTCCTGCAACGGGGATAATATATCTTGGAGTGAATGGGAACACTCTCATCACAAGAAGCAGAAACATTGTGATTGAAGTTCCAGCCAATATGGAAGCCCCAGCAACATACTTCCCTCTTGGGACATGCTTAGCCCTTTGCCCTGCTGTATAACCAGCAACAGTCACCTGCAGAGGCAATAATCACATAAAGATCATAAAGAAACTGCACCAATAATTATTACAATTTGATGTTGTAGCAATATTACGAGACGAGAACAAATAGAACCGATTATAAACTTTTAATCAGAAACAGATATATACGAACACTAATGAGAGTCAAGAAACAATAATGGATACTAAATCGTGTCATACATCCGGTTTATGTCACTCACGCTTGGATTTAATATAAAAGGAAGTTCAAAAGATGAAAAACGCATCTCTTTATTGTCTATCCTGATATCAATTCTAAAAGTGAGTGATCATAAATGTGACCGAGAGAACGGGACTCATGAAACACAATTACTTCTGTGTCTAGATTTCTATAAGGAAGCAGAAGAAAAACAGAGGGCTCTGCTTCTAGAAAATTAAAAAAAAAAAATTAAACAAACCCAACAACATACTTCAAAAGCTAAATTTATGAAAGGGTATTGAGTATTGACCAAACAGAATTTTCTCGGAAACCAAGCACATGGCAAGAAAAGTTAGCACAAAGGAGACAATTACAAACCATGAAAAGGTAAGCTAGAACGATCCAAAAGGCATTGTCCCGAGTGAAGATGAACTGAAGAACAAACCCGATAATCGAAAGCTGAACGAAGGCTCTAAAAATGGAGTAAATCATCTCTCTACCCAAACCCAGCTTCTGCATGTATGACAAGGCCACCGCAAGGAACACCACCACCGTCGCCGCCAGCGGCTTCACCATGCCCTTGAGAAAGTCCACCATCCATGACAAGTCCATGTTGGCCAGAAATTCAGGCAAGGAAACAAGAAACTGGTCGGCAAATAGGCCTTGTATGAAATTGGACTGTGCGATGTCTGTGTGGTTTTGGGCGGTGGCGGAGATGAGTGACGCCATTTGTGATAGTTGATGCGAAATTCGGATAATGCGTGAAGAAATTAGTAATATGTGGATTGGAGAGAGAGAGAGAAGTGTGTGAGGAAACGACCTTCCCCTGAAGTTCGAATGATATGGTGGAGTTGACAACTCCAAGATTTTTTAAGAGAATATTTTCGCACGAATTTTTTTAGTATGATTGTCATCTCGTCACGTATTTAAAAATGTCTTGTAGACACATAAAATTGATCATGGTGCAAATATATTTTTTCTAGGTGAATAGTGCAAATGTACTTTAATATGGTTCAATACACAAAAAATTTAAGAGTATGACACATCTGTATTAGATGGTGTATTACAATTGTTGTCAGTTCGCTTAAAATATCATGATATCAAAATTATGTTGTCCATTTTTTACTAGTACGCACGTTTTAATAATTTTACGTGACAATTGTTAGCGTTATGAATTGGAAGGTTAACAAAATTAATATGGTCAATCTTTGGTGGGCTTGACCTGACTAGCTTGCTCCAATCTAACTAGCTTGGTCTAATTTGACTAGCTTACTTAGATCTGACAAAGCCTCTTGTTTTGATTCGGATAGTCTAAGCACCATGTGTTGTGGGCATTCGGTCGTTCGAGGCATCCATGTGCCACGTTTTAGGGGCTTAAGGTTCATGGTTCCATAATCTGGATTGACCTGTCTTCAAAGTTTTGTGCCATAAAGTTTCCAGGTTTGTCAATTGGCTTGAGCAGTCGAAAAGTACATTATGTTTTTCGCTTGTCTCTTCTTATAGGTAGACAATCTAGGGCTATGAGTGGTTGCTTGCTACCAGTCATTTTTCATTCTCGTAATGATGCTTGAGATTTCTTGAGCCAGTTTGCCGTCCCAATGTCTTGATCTTCTTATCCTGTACTGGGCTCTCTCCAGACCCATTTATTCGGCTAAAAAAAAAACAATTACATATTATTTGAATGGGTTTAAAAGGACTATGAGTAGGCAAGTGACCCGTTATCACAATAATGAAAAGATGTTGGGTTCTTACATTACGACATAAGTTCAAACTCTGTCGATAACTTTGACGGAAAAAAAACAAAACTGAATAGTGCGATTGTCTTTTTAATAAGGAGGAATTAGTCAGTATTTTAATCAATGATTAATTATTTTTTTGGGACAAAGTTAGTCAATGATTAATTGAGAGTATTATTAAATTGTAGATTCCGTATATTTTGTCACCGAATAGGAGGGATTTGGGTACGGCCGTAACGAACGGACTGGAAGGACTGGGAGCGGTTTGTACTACAGCCGGGAGCTGCGTGGGACAACCGGGCGAGTGGGAAAGGATGGTGGGGCCCGGGCTGCGTGGGTGGATGTGGCGGGGCCGATGAGAGGGGAGAGTTGATCAAGTCGGTGCGCTGCTGAGTCTGACTTTATTTTTGGTTAGTTTGGCAAATTAACATCGACAATGACATGGCATTGATCCCTCAATTCTCTTACCTACGTCATGTTTACTTGTTTACTATCCGAGGAACGGAGTTTCTTGGAGAATAATTTGTCATTTAATATTATTATTTAGTGGTAATTTTTTATTTTGTAAATAAGAAATTTTATATTCAATTCTTATAAAAGAAGAATTTAAAATTACATTATTATTAGTTTATTATGAGACTTAAACCATCCAATTCCGTTAGTATAAATAATATTGCTTGTAAAAAAATGTATTTTTATTTCATAATTCCTATTGTTTGAAAATTAAAATGTCAAAGGTTCAAAATTGACAAATAATGCAATATTTTTAAGAGTAAGAAGGTGAATAATAAAATGCAAAATTTTTAATCGTTAATAATAGAATGATTTTTTTTTTCTTTCGAAATAATAGAATGAAATGGAAAAAAGAAACAAATGTGTGTATGTGTTTCAGGTGTTTCTGTAGATTCTCTTTATTTCAAGAAAGTTTATTTCTGCCACTTAGTATTTTAGTTTAGTGGTATTCATCTCACTTGTAAGTGAGGGGTCTTAAGTTCGATTCTCACCAAAGGCAAATTTGAATCACATTATTACTAGTTCATTTTAAGTTTACCATCTATGTGTACCACCATTTATATCATCTCTCTAATAAAGATGACATTCACATTGTTGATGGACTCTACCTCTATTAAAGAGATGATATAAATGATAGTACATAGATAATAAGTGTAGCACTACCGACGTTCACATTAAATAATATCAAGACTTTTTGTATTATATGTACAATTTAACGGTATTAGGTTTGAATGTCAGAAGTTTTGTCCAATGTTTATGTAATATTGACGCTATCTTTATATAAGTTTTTTTTTAGTACATCGATATTTTACACTAAGGGGAATATGAGTTCGGCAAAACCACACAATGTGCAGCCTATGTTGGTATCGAATTCGCCATCCACGAGATTCGAACCTAAAATTTCTCATTTCCAAGTAAAAAGAAATATCATCAAACCATAATAATAAGTGGTATCTTAATATAAGTTTGATACACATAATATTTAAGAGAGAATCCGAATAAAAAGAGAAATCCAGAGAAAATCGAATATAATTTGTTGGGTGGATGACTACTTGTTTTAGGATTGGGTGCGTGGCTGATCTGTCGACTTGTACTGGAGCTGGTGGTTTTATTATATATGTTGGGGTAATTTTATTTAAACCCATCTAACCTATTTCTACACCCAATTTACTCTTTTCACCCATTTGATTTTTAACTAAACTATTATTATCTCTTTAAACCCAAATTTAATACCTAATATACCCTTATAAACCTAATTCAGTATGTAGATTTATTTTTACACCCATTCAATTTTTAGTCAGATGTAAGATTGAAATCGAAGAAGAAGACTAAGAAGGAGAAGGAGGTGCTGCTCCATTTGTTAGCCATCACTCCATCAACGCCTCTTCTCCCTCTGCTAAATCTTCCCGCCACCGTGAATCTACCGCTTGGCAGCCTCTAGATCGTCAGACCCGCGGGGAGTCGAATCGGCCGGCACTCCGTCGTCGTCGTGCGGGGATTTGGTTTCTTTGGACTCCTCGATGGGTCCCATACACTTTGCGCGACCCTTTTATACAGATCTCATTTGTGAGCTTCTATGCTGAGTTTGGTAAGTTGTGCGATGCGCATAAGGTGTTTGAGGAAATGTCTGAACCATGTGTGGTTGCGTGGAATGCGATGATTGATGGGTTTGGGAAGAATGGGGAAATGGGTTATGCTATTTTGTTATTTGAAAGCATGCCGGAAAGGGACGTGGTTTCATGGACAAGCGTTATAAGCGGGTTTGGGAGAAATGGGTATGGTTGTGCTGTTTTGAGTCTCTTTGCTTCCGTAAATTATGTCTCTGGTTTCAATTGGAATGGGTGCTCTGAGAACGTCATTTCTTGCATTGGATGCATGGTGTGGTTACTCTGCAATCAAGAGGTAGGATTTGTTAAATAAACTCTCTTTATCTTCCTACAGTTACTGATGAATAATTTGTGAATGTAATATCATTCACCCGTATCTTCATCCTTAATTTGTTAATGGTATTAACCTTTTTGCATATTTGCATTTAAATGTCATAGAAAATCAGAGGCTGGAAGGGACATTGTGTATCCCAGTGGCGAAGCCACGTGGGAGCGAGGAGTGGCGGCCGCCACTCCCCTCGCCGGGAAACACCACTGGACCCCAGGTCTTCGCCACCCCCCTCGCGCGCCTCGCCGGAAAATAAAGGTTCAAGGCGCCCTTTGTTTTTCTGGGTTTTCTGGGCAATCTGCGGTGCAGATTGCGTTTTTTTTTTTTTTCAAAAACCAGGCCAAAACGACGTCGTTTTGGACCTGGTAAAAAAAATATAAAAAGTTAAATCAAAACGGCGCCGTTTTGATAGTTGAATTAAAAAAAAAATTATAATGGGGTGGGGACCGCTTCCGCGTGTCGCCCCAATGAAACCCTAGCTTCTGTCCCCCCCCCCCCCCCGTACTGCACACCCTTTACTCTTTTCTATCCTTTTCTTCAGTCTTCTTCACCAATAATCAACACACACACAACGGGGCCATCCATCTCAGCCAAGCTGCTCCCCAAACTCCAGCAGCCAAGCCAAAGCCACAAAGTCCTCTTTAATTTCTGTTCCACAAGCCAGTGAGCCACTCTCCTCTCCTCTAAGCTTAAGCCGGCTCCAATCACTATTTAAAGGTAAATTTTTTAATTCTTAAATGTGTAATCCCTACCTTAATTATTTAATACAAATTTCATTTAATTAGTATAGAATTATATGGTAATGCATTAATATGGTTATTGGTTATTGATTATTGATGTGAATCATATTGTTATTTAATACAAGATTGGGGATTTGTATTTAATACAAATTATGAAATTATTTTTTAGGGTGAAATTATTTATGTGAATCAAATGATATGGTTATTGATTATTCATGTCATGGTTATTTAATACAAATTATGAAATTATTTTTTAGGTTGAAATTATTGATACGAATTGGGAATTAGAAGAATCGTGTGTATGTATAATTGTACATATAGATAAATTGGAATTTGAATTCTTGAATCTTGATGGATGATTAGTTGAATTGCTTAGTTGTATTCATATGAATAGATTAGTTAAATTACTTAGTTGTATCATATATGATTAGTTGAATTGCTTAGTTGTATTCATAGAGTCTAAGAATTTTTATTTCTTTTCATTTTACAGTTACGTAATGGAACGATACTATAAGAAACAGTGCTTAAATCCTCCTTCAAACATTTTGGGTAGTCATCCTCCTTCAAATATTCCGAGTAGTCATCCTCCTCCTTCAAATATTCCAAGAAGTCATCTTTCAAATATTCCAAGTAGGTCACAACAAAGTGAGGCCACTGAGTTGGATGAAATATTGGCTAATCTTCCTGCAGACCCTGCACATAGACATCGAATGCTTGATTATCCACTTAATTATCGTGAAGCAATTCGTAGACACTATCTCCAAAATGATCCTTGTCAACCTATAGACCACATCATGCGAAGAAAGGTTAGCGACAATCGATGTTTTATCATTGGTTGGTTTGATAAGTTTAAGTGGTTGGAGTATAGTATATCAAAAAATGCTGCATTTTGCCGTTATTGTTATCTTTTCAAATGTGATTTTGATCAAATGGGTAGCACTGGAAGTGATGTCTTCACTGAGATAGGGTTTACAAATTGGAAGAAAGGATCCAAAAATCTTCAAGTCCATGAGGGAGGTGTTGGAAGTCTTCATAATAAAGCTGTACAACAAGCTAGAGATTTGATGACACAAAAACAACACATTGAAACATTTGTGATTAAGCAAACCGATGAAGCTCGCATTAATTATCGTACTTTATTGAGTGCCTCACTTGAGTGCACAAGATGGTTGTTGGGACAAGGTTTGCCTTTTCGTGGCCATGATGAATCGTTGAAATCAAGCAATAGGGGCAATTATTTGGAGCTTATGCAATTTCTTTCCAAGCATAATGAACAAGTTAGGAAGGTTGTGTTTGAGAATGCTGCTCCCAAGAATCTTAAGTATACTTCTTCCGATATTCAAAAAGATCTTGTCCGTGCTTGTGCCATTGAAACTGTAGGTGCAATCACTAAAGATATGGAAGGTGCATTTTTTTCTCTTTTGGTTGATGGAGCATGTGATTCTTCAACTAAAGAGCAAAATGGCGGTGGTATTGCGTTATGTGAATAAAAAAGGAGAAGCAATTGAGAAGTTTTGGGTGTTCAACATGTCTCATCAACAACTAGTAGCTCGCTTGAAGATGCCATTGAGAGATTGTTTGCTACAACAAATTTGAGTATGTCTAAGTTACGAGGACAAGGCTATGATGGAGCTAGCAATATGAAAGGTGAGTTGAATGGTCTTAAAACAAAGATTTTGAATAAATACCCTCAAGCATTTTAAATTCATTGTTTTGCACACCAACTCCAACTAGCTCTTGTATTCGTGGCAAAGGAAAATGAGGATGTTGCCAAATTCTTCATCAATGCTAGTAGTTGGTGAATCTTATTGGATCATCGTGTAAGCGTCGTGATGCATTTAGAGAGAAACAACAAGAACAAATTCAGAAAGCTCTTGATCTTGGTAATCTTGAAACGGGTAAAGGGTTAAATCAAGAAATGAGTCTCATGCGTCCATGTGATACACGGTGGAACTCGCATTATGGTACTATAGTTAGTATTATTGTTATGTTTGAAGCCGTGGTGGAGGTGGTTGAATGGATTAAAAGTGATCGCAACCAAGATAATCTCGGTGAAGCAACTAGGTTATTCAAAGACATACAAACTTTTGATTTTACATTTCACCTTTTCTTGATGAGACTTATATTGGGAATTACAAATGAGTTATCACAAGCATTGCAAAAGAAAGATCAAGATATTGTGAATGCAATGGCGTTAGTGGAAGTATGCAAGCAAAGACTACAATCCTTGAGAGATGATGACTTTGGGGACTTGCTTCATGATGTAGAAAAGTTTTGTGAGGCTAACATGGAGGATTTGCATTTCGTATCTGGAAAATCAAGGCGTAAAGCTCCAAAAATCACAAACTTCCATTACTATTGTGTGGACCTTTATTTTCAAGTCCTTGATATGCAACTAAAGGAGTTGAATGATCGCTTCAATGAGGTAAACACCGAGTTACTTCTTTGTATGGCATGTTTGAGTCCGGTGAATAATTTTGCATCTTTTGACAAAGCAAAAATTGTTCGTTTAGCCCAACTTTATTCTCAAGATTTTGATCGTATGGACCTCATGAATCTTCCAATTCAACTTGACAACTACATTCATGATATGAAGATGCATAGTGAGTTTTCATCATTGAGAGGAATTAGTGATCTTGCACAAGAGTTAGTGAAGACCGGGAGGTGTGAAAGTTATATGTTAGTGTATAAACTTCTTACATTGGCTTTGGTGTTACCGGTTGCAACCGTTTCGGTGGAGAGAGCTTTTTCTGCTATGAAGATTGTGAAAACACCATTGCGTAACAAAATGAGAGATCAATGGTTAAATGATAGCATGCTTGTTTACATTGAGAAAGATGTATTTGCTTTTATTGATAATGAGCCTATTATGCAACGTTTTCATGACATGAAACCTCGCCGGCAACAATTGTAATTTGTTGGTATTGATTAATTATGGAAGACATTACTATATAAAAAGATTTAGTTGTTGCCATTTTTCTTTAACCTTGCATTCTTTTAAGTTCGCCCCTCCCCTCGAGAAATCCTGGCTTCGCCATCCAGTAAATGCAATTGCATTCCACCCCGTGTAAGTTACTTTTTTCTATTAAAGTATTGCGTACTAAACTTGTGAACTTGTGTGCGTTGATTTATTGAAGTCATGAAAACGATAGGCCATATCTGGTTTCCTGTTGAAGGCATCTTGTGACTACAATAATAACATCTGGGAATTTCATAGTAGTAACTTAGTTCATGGTTTATTCTTTGGTTGAATGGTTCAAAAAATAAGGATCAAAATTGTTCCTTGTTTTTGCGATAGATTATGGCTTGGATTATACTTGATTCGTTAGTTGGGAATGTTTAAAACCTAAATTAAGCTTGAAGGGAGCTTAATAATTTCAGATATACGTAGCTCATGCTTTAATAAAGTTTATCAAGAGAGTTTGAGAATGAGATTCTTGTACATTATTGACTGTCATGTTTTCAAGCTATTTTGCCCTCTCGGGACAAATTGAAAAGAGCTATACATACTTTCGCTTGATGAGAGTTGCGATCATACTGCTTATTGTATGAGAGAGTAGTGATGCTAGCAGTTTCTTTTTAGTCCACGTGCATTTCTTTTATTAGTTTTTTTTTTCTGAAATTCAATTGCAGCTATGGTACTTTGGTTGTTTTCTCAGCAACAACCATGTTGGCAAGGCGCCGGGAATACCTTTACCTAGGGGGTTTGCTTTCTTATGGCCTTTCTATGCTAATTTGGTTACACTTTGCTTCTTCTGTCTTTGGGGGTTCTGCAGCTCTTTTCAAGTTTGAGGTAAAGAATTATCAATTAGTCATGTGAATGATGGGCAATGCTACATTTTGTGCATAAAAGCTAAAACAGGGTGATATATGCAGCTATCTAATCGTTCTTTGAAATTGTGTTGCAGCTGTATTTCAGTCTTGTTGCTGTGTTTGTCCGTATACTGGTTATCATGGTAAGTTCTCGTTAATGCTTTAAGAGCAAAAATCCTCATCTCGGTCTTGTTTTCTATCATATTTATGATTGTTGGTGCTTAGACCATCTCCTCTTTTATTTTATATTGTGAGATGTTATATCTATTAGGCTAAGTAGACTTGTTAACTAAAACAGCTATCGTTTCTTTACCACAGTTGAAGAACTCGGCCGAGAAGAATGAGAATAAGAAGAAAAGAAAGGATTGATGCTCCTCCTGTAACCCTGGTGATGCAAAGCAATGCAAAATGAGATCATCACTTGTCTATATAGAGTTTTTCCATGTGACCTCAAAAACAAAATGTGTAGTTGATATATTCCCTACTTTTTGGTGGGTGGTAGACTGATAGTGATTGTCTAGTGTTGCTGCCGTTAAACTTCTACTTACTGTTTTGAATGACATCGTTTTTTAATTCGTGACGAAGTTTATTGTTGTGTTAATAAACTGGCTAGCTCCTCCATCTGCATTACTTGTATGTTGGTATAACAGGTTTCCGAGTAGCGATTTTGATACTTCCGAGTCCTTATGGAACAATTTTCGCCACATCCAATGATTGAGCGTGGGCGTAGCGAAAATCCAGATTTCGCAAATGAAATAATTAAAATTAAAATCACATTTGATGACTATCAGAGCTTTCTTGCAAAGAACGCTGATACTCCTCTTCTGTTTCCGAACTCACAAGGCAATTCCAGTCTCTATTAAATTTATTCCACTGCTTGTTTGACTCAAACATTTTCCTGCACTTTGACAACACATTTTTGTTAATATGTCATCTACACAATAAATGTTGCGCACTAGGAAATACAGACTTGATAAAATTCAGGAGTGCTAAATCTCGATCGGTGGCAATAACCCCAGGAAGACAATAGCCATGAAGCAATGTCTTTAATCTAGTCAGGGCCCAAGTGTAATTGTCTTCTTTCTCAGCCTCTATATACACAAAAGCAACTGAGAATGTCATATTAGTGGATGTCACACCCACAATTTGTAAGAGTGGAAAACGATAACTGTTAGTCTTATATGTGCAATCCATGATAAGTACATGTGGGAATGCTCGTAATATCTCAATACTAATAGGGTGAGCCCAGAAAATGTCAGTCACAGTATCACCACAACTTCTTGAAAGTGTTAGTCAAGGGCGACTCACAAGCAAGTGTTAGTCGAGGGCGACTCACAGTCTTACCTTCACCTCCTAAATCAGACCTTTTAATAATAATTACCATATTATTCAGCTTTCCCTGTTCACGAACCTATGTAATCAATGCATCTTTTCCTTTGAATATCTGCACGTAACACATATTTTATTTCGAAGTAAAATTCTAAAATTAACTAACACGTCAACGACACTATAAATATATAATTACCTCATAAGTTGTAAATTGATCAATATAATCCACCACACATTCTTGTCCAACCTCGTTGCCTCGATCAGAGGCATCATTGAATTCTTGTTGCTAAAAAATAAATGACAAAATTATGATTACAATAAAAAATCTTCAAGCTATGATTAAAACAAATGGACAAATATAGCTAACTGCAGCAATGTTTTCATATTACTGACTAAAAACACATCAAGCCCCATTTTATAGTAAACAACATACAACTTAAACTACCTTTCGGTTTCCTCTTACACAACAAATGGAGTTTGGAATATGTAGGACCAACAATAACTTTCATATTGGGAGGGAGAGGGAGACCCCCGAAAAATACCATCAGAGATTATCCTTGCTTTCTGACTTACAGTAATCAGGTTTATAGGGACAAGGCTCACCTAGATCCCGACATGTATCCCTCAAAGTTAGTAAAACTAAAGATGGCAATGGATATTTTGTAATCCAATAATTGCTTAGTGCAAAGATTTTCCAGTGCAGGAAACAATGTTGGAAACTTTGAGCCAATAAATCATTTGCTTCTAAAATGTTTTTAGTCCTTGGGAAATCGAAAAATAAACCCCCAAAAGAATCAACAAGACTGCAGAATCAAGGTTCAAGATTTTTCTCGAAAAAAATCCCTTCACATCAGTGGCAATTCAATGGGAAAGTCCAAACTTCCTCAACTCGAAAAATCTTCCATAAAGCAAAAAATTATAAGCTCATGAAGGACTCACCACCCAACCAAACATGACTGAAAGATATACACATGCGGAACCAGAAACCTTAAAGACATCGTTCAATTCGACAAGTTCTAAACTTTAAAAAATTGAAATCGAACGAACAAAAAATTCATAAATTGAGTCATACCTTGGTTGGAGGATTCAAAACTTCAAAATCACCATCAATCAATAGAAAATTTTATTTCTCTATGAAAGCTATTAGGGTTTTAGCAGAATGAACGTATGATAAACAAAGAATGATCGTAGGATTTAATTATAGTGTTTGGGTTTATTGATAAATTTGAGTTTTATTATTAATTTCAGTTTGTACTTAATAGTAATTATGCAATAGGGTAAAATAGACAATTAACATTCAAAATTTTAAGTTAGGTGTAAAAAGAGGTTGCATGGGTTTAAATAAAATTTCCCTATATGTTGTTGTTTGTATGGATTGAAGTTGTGAACAAGTATATAAGTTCAATTCTTTACGTCTCTTCGACCTGAACAATGAAAGGTATAGATAACTTCCTGCACTCGAATCTTTTACCAAAAAAAAATGCTTATTAGTAATATTATTGTCACTTAGTACTACAATTTAATTGTATTCCTCTTTACTATTCATTTGTAAGTGAGTGGTCGACAATGACGAATTTGAAACATATTATTGCTAGCTCATTGTGAAGCTAAGCTCATCATCTTTCCCCTTAGTGTAGATAATATATGTTGTTTAAAAAAAGTAACATTATTATATCAAGCCCTTTATCTAAAGTGGTCTTCATTGTTTGATAGAAATAGGGTTTAATTATGGGGCCCACTTCACATCCAACTTCAATGATCCAAACGATTTATTTTTCAAGTTGCACTTCATTAATCATCCTTGCAAAATATTAGCAAAATAAAAAATGTTTAAGGTATCTAATTGAGGTCAAAGAAATTGACAAACACTGTGTTCCAAAAAACATTGAAATTTTATCAAGACAATCAAATAGGTAAATGGTTTCAAGATTGAATTATCATTTTGCAAGGATGATCTATGAATAAAGACTTGAAAAATAAAAATTTCGGATCATTGAAGTTCAATGTAGAGTAGACCTGCCAACTAGTTCCCATTTTTATATTAAAAAATGGGGATCCCTTTGAATGAAGGCTATCATTATTTTATAGTGGCAATCGCCTTGTAATTTAAAGGATTAAGAATATTCACTTTTGCAGTTGGTGTCCTATGATGTATTTATTCTTCCCCGCAACACTTGGGTAAAAAGAAAAATAGTACTCTCGATGCCTATGGCTACTCTGACGGATGTACAAAACTTATTTATTTTTCAGGTGCACCATTAGAGTTTGCAAGATAGAATTTCAATAACACAATATACTTATTTTGCTTTGTCCGGGGTGGTCAATTGGCCAGCCCCACTTGTTGTGCACCAGTAAAGACAACAAAGAGAATTTCCATACATTGGATACTTATTTTGCTTCATTAGGCAGGTCGACCGATCACTCACGCTAACACCCCGATGTGCACCAAAGAGAGTCCGCATTTTTTCCACTGGATTTTTACTACCTAGCTAGGTTTTAACAAGGCACCCATCCTAAGCTGATCATACCCTTTTGAGCTCTTCTACTTGCGTCCAAAAAACGTATAGTTTTGACTTAATGCAACTTCTCACTTTCTCCTTAGTCTATGAGTTTTATCCTACCTTGGGTTTTACCATAGCGAGGTTTTGTGAGTTTTACTTTTTTATGCATTATTCCGTTGATTTGAGACTCGCATTTGCTCATTGTGTCGACGACTTCATCAACTATACTTACTTCATCGCTGAAGACCATATGCGCCATTTGTTTCAGTATTTACACACTCAAGGGGGAGTGTTGCAGTCCTATTGGAATATGAATGTGATTGTGTAAATCCTAACATATCTAGGGATATCTTTTATATTCCCTTTAGTAGTTAATATCCTATTAGAGTTGTAATCCTAAAAGGGTAAAGAATTAACCTTCCCTACTACTATAAATAAAGGCACAATGGAGTGAAATAACATATACCCGCAATTACACATTTCTCTCATCTCTACTATTGCTACACCTTTCTCTCTCTATGACCTCCATAA